TGGAATGGAAAGGCTGTTGAAACAGTAAATACTTTCTGTGGCCAGAAGCTAAGTCTTGAGCTGGACCTTTTCCTCTCTGCAAAGGAAAGAATGCAGAACAAACCTTAAAATCTGTATTTGCAGTGGGAAAAAACTAATTAGTTTAGAGCTTTTAGTGATTTCAAACCATTTACATACACAGCTGCTGTTCATGCAAACATGAAAACTATTCATGGAAACTTCAAACTTACCTTGAAATGAAAAGTATAATTTTTTTTTCCTGTTTTTTAAAGCTGTGCTTGGTGTTCAAAAATATGGTTGGAAAGATCTGAAAATTATATTTGTACTGTACGTGCAGAAAGGAACATAGACGTGGGCTAAGAGAAGCGTATAATAAAAGGCTTTGGTTCAGCAAGCCTCAACATTGAAACCCTGTTAGCACCGAACAGCTGCTGGGAAAGTATTTCATTTTCAGGGGCATTTACTCTTGGTTTGTTCCTGTGGAGTTTTTGTTATGACCCAAAACTCTGAAAAAAAAGAGAGATGACCAAAATACAAAGTGGTCCAGGTCTTACAGCTGGCTTCTCTGCTACAAAAGGTTAGTCTGAAATATTGGATCCAAATAACCCACAGCCTGGGAATGAGAATTCATTCCCAATAATGCTCGAGCTTGGGACAGCTCTAATATCTCTTAGGCACTGAGATCTACAGGATAACTCAGATTGTACTGTCCCTCGGAGAACCCCGTTGAGCATTCACAAGGAATTCATCCCCACCCCCAGCTTCCTCCGAGGAGGAGGAGAAATTTGCCACGACAGATGTGGGGAACAGATGTTAAGAGGAAAAGTTATAAGGGGACAATGACCTGAAGTGTTGTTAGTTGGGCCCTTCCTTGACGTGACTGAACTCCTGTTCCCGATGGCAAAGAGGGAGAGCAGCATGTGCCCACTGCTGGCTCTGCCGGCCCCAGTGTTGGCGTCGGCAGGCTGACGTGCCAGATCCTTCATGCTCAGTTAGCTGAGAAAGAGAGAGGAAGGGACAAAGATTTAAAAGCCAATCAGCTGTGTTATTCAAGGACAATTAGTGCTAAGTAGGTGAATCATGCCCAGCCACCCACCACCTTTCCTGAGCAGCTGTAGGTAATTTTTCGGAATTTTAGTCTCCTGTTTTACATCAAGGCTTCCCCTTTCCTTCCTCCTGTTTTTCCCCATCTTTCCACTGTAGCATCTATGATGTTGAGGAGACACTCATGCTCCTCGTCCCTAAATGCCCCTGTGAGCTAATCTAGTAGAAGAGTAACAATAATAGTGAGCTGGGAAAAAAAGCTTTTCACCAATTCTGCATTATCAGCATAGAGCATATAAGATTTTTTTCTTTTTTCCCTTTCTCCTATTCTACTTCAGAAGGATTTCTGCTCTTTTTTGGCTTGAGAAAAGGATGTTGAGCTTCACACTTAATGTGTTATGGGAAAGGTTGGCAGGTAAGACCAACTTCCTACTGAGGGAGGGATTCATGACAGGTCTTGTTCTCCTTCGCTTAGTCGAGCTCAAGAGACTGTGAACAATTATTTTTATTACTGAAAGGAGATCAACCATCCAGAGAAGCCTGAAAAGTTTTTATGGCTCTTGAAATGGGAAACTAAGTATTTGAAATAGAAGAATTTAGAAGATGACAATTCTGTGAGCTACTTTCTCTCTCCCAAAAAGGTTGGCTTCAATTTTATTAGCAGGTTTTTTTCATGGGACAGTTTTGTGCTGGGTTTTGGGTTGGGTTTTTTTTCCCCTAGCTTTCAGAGATTGGGCTTGATGACCTTCTGAGGTCCCCTTCCAACTTGAGCTGGTCTCTGATGTTATTACAGGCATCACTCGTGCATATTTATTGCTCTCTGTCTTTAATTTTACATTTGCTCTATTTTCACAGGGCATTACCTGTTATTCATGGAGGGTTTTGGGTTTAATTCAGTGCAAGGCTCTAGGGCACACACTGTCCTTTCCATACGGTACAGTGATTTCAAAGCTTGTGATGAAAGGGCACTTCATACTATAGACTTTTCTTTCTTTGCTGCTGTTCTTATAAAATGATTCATGGCTTTAGCAAATCAGTGACATAGGATACATTGGCACTGTGTGCATGAAGTGGTTGGCCTGTGTGCAGGTGAGCACTTGCCCAGTCTCACGTGTGAACACTTGGGAGGTTCAGCATGGGGGATATCTGACATAGTCGGTCAGCCTATGTGCAGCATCGTTGATACATCTCATTCTTTAGCATATGTGATGCAGTGCCCATCCATATATGTATTATTCATCAACTTTAAATTAAATTTTTAATGTTTTTGCACTCACATTGTCACCTTAGGTCTGTTTGTGTCCCATTCCCTCTCCCCCTCTCCCCAAAATCTTTGAAGACTTATCTTCTTCCACCTCCAACTTATCTGTGGAAACTCTTGGTAACATAAATGGCCACATAAATGTCCTTATGTCCTTACTAACCCAAGGCTTTAGTGTATCTGGTACTTAGAGCCTTCTCCTTGTGAACAAGCTATGTATTTGGGGAGCTAATATAAAAAATTTCCTTAGTAGGACTCTTCATTGAGAAGTGTGATTAAAGTACTTTTTATTATTATTATTTATTTGCTGGGAATACCCAACTCCCTTAGGTCTTAAAGTCAGTTCCTGCATTTGGAGCAGTTTGAACCTTCAGCCCTGACCTGCGAGGGTCAGAGGACTTAGTTACTGTACAAAGCGATCGTTTTTCACGGGAGAGGGAAGTGAAATTTCTGTGGGCTTCAGGTTTTATTTTCTTCTCCTGCTTAGTGTGACACAGATAGCATCCTTGCTAGAAAGCAGAGAGAGGAAAGAAAATTCAGTCCACATGTTTGGGATTTAAGGTTGAGAATGATTCACGCTTAGCTTCTGGGGGTTGTAATTAGGGGTGACATAATAACCATAAACTTTCAATAAAATAGTAGCAGCATTTTTGTTACACTCTGTAGCTGCAAAGGCTGCTTCTGATTAGCATCCCTTCAAGATAAGCCGACAGGACCTCCCCAGTTCCCAGATCTGGATCCAGGCTTTTGTGGTGAAGTCTTATGTCTGTACTGATGCTGAAGGGAACCCAGAATTCTGAAACACCCCAAACTGATGATATTTTCACTTGAATCAACATCTCAACCTTTTCCTTAAGCTATTTTAGTCCATCTGTGTAGTTTTCAAGTCAGTATTTTCTTATGTTGGCTAAATCTTGATAGGTTATTCACTTTATAGTGCACTCTAAGGGTTATCTGCTATGGAAAAAAGTAATCATGCTATCCTCCTTTTCTCCTGAATTATTTCTACTCCTTTCTTTTCCAAGTGGCTGAGACTAAAAGGAATCCAGGAATGCAGACAGGAGATCTGTCATTCCCACTCTACACCAAGGTGCATTCTTGTAGTTTTTAAAGATGGGCATTTACACTGGAATTCTGCCATCAATATTCAGCCAATTCTATTTTTTGGCAGTTGAGCACATGGAATTTTTAAAAAAGAAGATGTACTTTTTTTAAAGCAGGTCACAGACAAAAATAAAGACACATTCTTGGGCTACGAGAAGTAGGTCAGGCTTTGGGGGAATCATTTGTGAAAGCTAATCTTACCAGTTTTTCTTTATTACTATTTTTTGCTTCCTATGCCAAATTTGCATGCTTTTTATAAAGAGGTTCTGCTTATATTGTTTTAGGTGTGATGTATTCTCCTGCTTTGACTAGCAAACTTTGTACATTAACTTTAAAAAAAGGAAAGGAAGAAGAAGGGGAAAAAAACCCCAAAAAACCCCCAAACCACCAAAAAAACAAAACCAACCCAGAAAAAAAAATGTTCCCAGTTTTCCATGAGAGAATCCTGTAGTGGAAAGTGAGGCCTCTCTGTGCTGCAGTCCAAAAGGAATAAAGCTGCTTTGTGTCACCTCATTAGTCTGAGCTGATGTTTTACCTCAAGACATTTCTGGGGAGGAGGATGGGGAAAGGCTGATTCCACTGCTCAGTTGATCACCCTGCAGCACCTCCTGTTCCCAATTAGTGCGTCTAATTTTGGGGCTGTATGACACAGAATCACAGAATTGCCTCGATTGGAAAAGCCCTTTAAGATCATCGAGTCCAACCATGAACCCAACACTGACAAGTCCCCGACTAACCCACGTCCCTCAGCACTATGTCTACATGACTCTTCAATCCCTCCAGGGATGGGGACTCCACCACTGCCCTGGGCAACCCCTTCCAATGCCTCAGAACCCTTTCAGCAAAGAAATTCTTCCTCACATCCCATCTCAGCTGCCCTGGGCACAACTGGAGGCCATTGCCTCTTGTCCTCTCACTTGTTCCTTGGGAGAAGAGATGGACTCCCACCTCTCTCCACCCTCCTTTGAGGGAGCTGGAGAGAGCAGAGGTATTTAAAGAGCTTGGATCATTACCTGGTGATAGCATTTCAGGACAGGTCGCTGTAGGGTGGGTGCCAGGACTTGGGGCAGGCACCCTGCGTGGTTTGGCTGGGCTCTCCCCACACAGGGACAAGGATGCTCATCCTCTCCGGTAGCCTGGTTCTCTGGTGAGCCAGCAGATAGCTCAGCTCTGCAGCTGGTGGTGGAGTAAGGATGTGTTTGGTGAACAAACCAGAGTCAGGGTCAGCACTAATTGAGCAGTAGAAGCCCCTGGGCCTCTTCCACGACCGAGCTTTGGAAATAGGATGGTTTTGCTCTGTGAAAGCAAATCCCAATTAAAAACATTGTTTGTGGGGGATACCTCTACAAAGAATCCCATCTTTCTGAATATCTGCAGTTACTGGAAGGTTTCATTCCCTCCTTTTAATATTTTATAATTTTTTAATATTAATCCATGTAACTGCATACCTTAAATTCACAAGAGCAAAACAGCTGATGCTCATGTACAGGTAATCTCTCTCTATCTCTCTCTTAAATTCCTGAAGAATTACTGACATAGCTGACATTTTTGTTTACTTTTGGTTATTTATATTTCTATTTATTTTACAGAATTTGATTCAGAAACAAAAAGAGTTCAAGACATTCTTTCTGGAATGGAGAAACCACAGGTACGTGATCCTACATTACTACAGACACAAAAAAAAATAGTAAATGTGGTAAGTAGATTGTGTCACAACATAGTGGTGATTTCACAGAGGAGCACCTCTGAATTTTTTTTCCTTAATAGATGTTGCCTCTGAATATATCTAATTTATTTCACCAGGATACAGTCAGTGGGAATAAATTTGAAGCATCTTTTGTGCTTGTGGGTATTTGTGGGCTCTGCCCACTGCAGGAATTGCAGCAGTCGCCTGTTGCCAGGGGGGACAACTCCCAGAATTCATACTGTGATGGGGAAACCAGCGCGCTGGAGTGATTTACATAGCTCCTACCCCATCTCCCCTGGGTTTAATTTTATTTGGCATGAGCAATTTCTGTCTGTAATAATGATTAAATTAAGATAATTTTAGTATTCAATGGCAATTGCTATATTCTACGTTTGTCTGAGCCATGAAAGCATGTGAATTGTAATGGAAATTGAATCACCGTGGTGGGTGTGATCACAGTCAGGGAAGGCTATTAATAAATCTGGTTGTGAGACCTTTGAACGTGATGGTTTTCCTAGTTTGATGTGTCAAGTGAAAACCAGATGGGTGTTGCGGATCTAAATGAATGGTCCAAGCAGGCACGTGGAGAAGCAGCCACGAGGCAGAAGGTTGTGCTCTGGGAGTTTGATCTCCTGTACTCTGTCAGGGCTCAGGCCTTTCTCTGACCACCTGGAGAGCTAGCGAACAAGCAAGCAAACTAAAAAAAAAAAAAATAGCAGTTGGAAAGCTCATCTAAAGACTGGGTTTGGTAGGAACTTGGGTAGATGCTGATATAAGAAGTCCTGCAATGGGAGCGTGAAGGGGTGGCAGCTCCTTAGATGCAGAAGTGGCAGAGCTCAGGAAGAGGCAGGTGTGAACACAGGCTGGGTTTTATTTGTAGGATCTGTTCTCTTGGGTGCTTTTGGTCTGAATAAATACAAAAGATGTTCAGTCTTAAATCACTCAGTCAGTAGGTGTTGGATCCTACTGTCATGGCATCTACGAGAGCAGGTTCAAAACCAGCCAGAATCTAAACCAGAGCTGCCGAGGTGATAAATGCCAGGGGGCTACAGCCCGAGTTTCTGTTTGCAAGAAGGGAAGTTCCTCTATTTCATGTAGAAACAAGTGACAGTGCTAAGCTGAAGACTTGAGAGAAGAGTTTCTGGAGGATCAGAAAGGAAGAAAGTGCACCTCACACAGAATTAGGCTAGTTTATTGTACAGAACGAGTCAATATTTCTGTATTGAGGACTACCTGGATGTTACTCACCTGGTAAAATGCCACAGCCAGGTGCCTTTTGCAAAGATCCAGAGACCCAGTGTGAAAAATGTGTGATTTCGTACTTGTATCTCTAGAGGTGAGGAGAGAAGCTATTTGGGCAGTTTGCAGGATTCCAAATTCTGTACAATTAAGCTTATGGGAACCAGAGCATTTAAAGTGGAGGGGAGCAAAAAACTAAAAATTGACAAAAATAATTTTCCTTGAATGACTTCAAAAATAGGATTTCTTTTTTTTTAAGGGAAAAAAACAAAACCCTAAAGCATGACAAATGCTAGTTCAATAATAATGACATTTAGTGAGAAGGTGCAGGGGATTATCTATTATTCTCTCTGTGACTTTGACATTTGTGATTAATTAAACTCATAGGAGTCTCACAAACCATTAATTGCTATGAATGATTATGTGTGTGTGGAGTCGGTGTTATATCTGATGGAAATACATCGTATTATGCATTAATAGTCAGCTGGGCTGTATTTCTTGGTAAGCCTTATGCCTATATGACTGAAAAATAAAACAATGTATAGAAAAACAATTGTGTAGAATGAAATGGCACAATTAAAATGAAAGGGCACAGAGCAGTAAGTCTGGTTTTGATAGTAGATATTGTTACCTGTTTGAGACGTGCAACCACACTGTAAATTTAATCACGGTTTTGACAGCACAAATTTTAAAAAGCAGCTTTTTGTTTTTCTCCCCCCTTGTGTCTGTATTTAAACTGAAATATATTTTTAATTTACATTATTGCAGACAAAGTAAGCATTCTCTAAAGCAAATACCTCGGTGAGGGAAGGGAAACTTGATTCTGGGTTTCAGAAGTGGTGGGGAGCCGAATCAGCAGGGAGACACCGCGGGTCCGCCGAGTCGGAGCCCAAACATTAGTTTGACTTTCCAAAAGGCAGCCCGCTCCCGCTGGCTCGATCTGCAGCGAAACTCATATTTAATCATCAGGATTTTTGCTTAAAATTGCAGGATTAGAGCCATAGTTTAAAAGCAAAATTTCGACCCGGTAATAACTGTGAATTCATTTGACCCCCAAGTCTTTCAAACATTGCCCTCGAGGGAGTAAATGAATGTTGCTTGCAGTGTAGTTCTCACACATACAATAAAACCCCGAACCACACGATGCCTGTGAATGCTAACCCGGAATTTGAAAGATAATGAAAGTTGTACAGAAACATTGTTCATTACCTGAAAGACGGGAAGGACCGATATTCATCAGCCTTGTAACCTTATTAAAGTAGTGCAGGAGTTGGGATTCTTTCCCAGGGGCTTTTATGAAATAATTATTTACACCACTGAGTTTTGATAGCGTAGAAAGCAGACATTTACTGTGTAAACTGAGAAGTTTTCAGAAACTAATTAACTGTGCTTTTCACCAGACATACAAAACTCCTTGTGGGAGAATCTTTTGTTAGTTCTCAGCTAAAAGGCCAAGCTAGTCCTGTTCAAAGCGAGCACAGTCATTTTGGGGACAGAAGATCAGGCTGGGGTAACTGGAAAGCAGCGCAGAGGTTCATCAGCCTGGCCAATGAAGAGGTGCTCTGGCTGCTTATATTTTGGTCAGGTGGAATTAGAGCAGCATTAAAGAACAATAAACTGTTTTTTTACTTGCAGCTGAGTATTTATGTCTACAAGTTTGATAGTGACATTAAGTCCACATTGAGATGTTAGCTGTGTTGTTCCTTACAGCACGGAGAAGAGCTGCTCTGGATCTCTGCAGCTCCTCACTATCTATGGAAAGGTGCTTGTTTTCCCAGTAAGTGAGAAAAGTTGGAGTTAAAGCTACTGAGCTGTTTTGCAAGTGACTGTTTGATATTCTCAGCGTATCATAACCCCATTCATTTAACTTTACCCTTTTTTATCGCAAAGCTAGTGCTTTCTGCTCCAGGTAGGAGTTCCTCAGTGAAGTTCAGTGGTGGCTTTGGCCATTAGATCAGGTAGTGAAGAGATACGCCTTTGGCTGGTGAACATGATACGATACGGTGCCTGTTAGCCAGTGCACAGCAGATAGGTTTATCTCTGTACAAATAAATCCGTGCCCAGTGCTCGTGCTGACGTGCACCGTGCTGTTCTGCTTTCTGTACCCAGGGAGTGTATAGATTTGCCTTTTCTGCCTTTTCTCATGCAGGCGGTGACCCCTCACTTGCTTCACTACACTCGCTGTGTGTACTCAGTGCAGCAAAGAATTGTGTTTAACGATTTCTGGTGTTTATTTTTAAACCCCCACCAGCAGTTAGTGTGTAGGTAACACCACCAAGGCAGGCCAGCAGCCACTCTCCACGCTCTACCAGTAAGAAGTTAATGGTGTAGCTGGAGCAGCTTAGCAACTGGGTTTGGACCTTTATCCTCTGCATAGAAATGTCTACACACTGACTTCAGAATAATAGTCCTAACAGTTCCTAGTGGTTAGTCCATAAGATACTTCTTATTTTAAGAAACTATAAAAGACCTAACTTTTTACAGATTGCTAAAGTTCATGAAAGGCCAGAGTTTTTGCCGTACACAGAACATATACGTGTGTCCCCGTGAGCAGTCATAGAGAAAAACATTTCAATAGAACATTGGCAGGATATCATGCCTCCAGCTCCAAGTCTGTCTGCATTTATGAAAAACAATTATGCAAGCATATTTCCATAATAAAAGAAACTCCGTGTTGATGGGCTGAGCTGGCATAGTAGTAATGTATGTTAAAAAAAAAAAGTCCATTTAAATCTCATTATCCAGTTTTCTAATCAAAATACTATTTTAAATACAGACTTCTAGCGCTAAATATCTTTGTCACAATTTCATTCACATACCTGTGTGTGTATATATATCTTAAAAAATTAAACTTATCTATCTTATTTGAATAGTTCAGGAGTCTTATAAGCTATCTATTCCTGTATCAGTTTTCACTAGACCAGGGTTTTGCAGCAAATAATGATTTCATAGCATCGGAAAAATGTGACCAGAGCAAGAAATCTCATGAAATTCATACAAGAATTTGCATGTTTGTATTTTCTTACCAAAAAAAAAAAAAAAGCTCAATACTACTTAAAACTTCTTGCCTTGCAACTTGTTTTTCACATCAGTTTGAAGAGAGGTTTTCTCTTTGGCAGGATTTAAGTGTGCTGCTATAAATTGAAATCTTTAACTTTTGAGAGCACGGTGTTTAAGTTAAGACAAGACGTTTTGTGGTGTCACCTACTTGTCAGTTTGTTATAAACAGATTTATGACTTGCTTAGAAAGTATCTGCTTGATATATGGGTGTCACGCACAACAGTTGCAGTGCTCTTCAGCTGTAAGTAATCTGTTTTCAAGTGAGCAGTTAAATATTCTCCATTATATAAAGATATCCAGAAGCTGGATTTGTAAACAAGCGGTCCCTGAAATCTGATTTCATTACCAAATCACTTAAGGGTAAGGTGTTTCAATTGTCTCAATAAAAGTGTAGGAAATGTGTACCTAAGCACCTGCATCATTCATCTTACACCTTCTAAAATAACAACATTTTGCTCTGTGTGTTGGAAAAATCTGTTAAAATAATAGAACCAGTGAAATTTGATGCGTAGGAGAAATGAATAAAGAATATAAAACCTTGTGCTTTGATTCCTCCTCATGGAGGCTAGGTTAAAAAAAAAAAAAAGTGTTTTTTACATTTTCACTACAATTAAGAAAGAAAAAAAAGTAGTAGTTTTCATTATGAAAAGTGGAGTTTGTGGCAGAGAGCTTGAGGCTATGGAGGCTTTGAGGCTTCCCTGGGCTTTTTTCAGAAGGTGTGCATGAAAATATTGTGCTGTCTTTCCAAGATAGCCAGTGCAACCATTGTTTTTTATTTCTTTTTCTTTAGAGACAGTGGTGGGGGGGGATGTTTTGTTTTTTTTTTTCTTTTTCTTCTTTCTTGGCTTGATAACAGAAGGCTGTTCTTTGGGAAGCTGCTGTTTGGTACGTGCAGCTGATGAATGATGCCTCCAGCACTGTGCCAGCGGGCTCTCCGGGTGAGAAAGGCAATGCTAGTTCTGTCAGCTCAGGCAGGCTAGAGGCATTTGAACCTGTGTTTCTAGAAGAATACAGCTGCACTGGTGGGGTGATAAAGTTGTTTTGGTGTTTCAGGTATTTTTTCTGTGCTTTATTAAAAGAAAATCCTCACCCGTCTGCCATAGAGGTGTTGCTGTAGAGCTGCACCCAGGGGTGCCTGTAGATCATACATGCAGCTTTTTTTCTCAAGGAAAAAAGTGATTGATTCACAATGTAATTTTTAATTGCCAAGTTAGACTTCTCTTAGGATTTTCTCTTATACTTTTGAGTCAGCGTAACCTTGTAGATTGAATTGGGATTTTTACTTATTTACAGTTGAATTATTACTGTTTCAAATTACAAGAAGGAACGGGATGACTGAAAAAGCCATCAGAGTTTTATTAGAGGATCTCCCTAACAAAAGCTTTAGAAAATAATTGAGTACAAAGCAATCTGTAGGATAAAGGCTTCATTTCACTTAGTTCACTTGCCTTCTGGCCGTGGCCACGGCAGCAGGTACCTCCAGAATGGAGTCCGAGCACCCAGCAAAGGATGCCTCACAATGATGAGCCAGCTCTTTGCAGGGGGACATCCCTCTCTATTCCTCATCTGTTAGAGATTAGTTTATGCCATGAACCTGTATTTTTGTTCGTGCTGTTGATGACCGTTTCTGCCCCTTTATATTTCACCTCTATCTCCAAAATTTCCTTTTTACAATAAATTGATTGTGAAGATGCGAGCAAAAAGCAAATGCAGGATAGCATTCTTATTGGAATTCAGAGTAACTGATGTTTCTTTTATAGGTTACAAATATTCAAGCAAGAACAGTTTTACTTTCCTGGTCACCTCCCGCCGGCCTTCTAAATGCAGATAGACACAACAATGGTTTGCCTTACACCTGTACCTATGAGGTTGCCTTATCAGATAAAGGGAGGGATGGAAAATACAAGATAATTTACAGGTAACAGTATCATTTTTACACTTGTGTTGCTCTCAATTTGTTGTTTTTGTTAGGAATACGTTCTCTTAGCTTTCCAGGGTATATTTTGGAATCCCCATTGGACACAGAATAAAGGTATGTTTGTGACACCTGGTAATTGCTCCCTCGCTGTCCTGTCAGCCCCCCTTGCTGAAGGAGCTTGGGGTGAGCGGGTTGAGTGCATGTCAAAAGGTCTCTAATTGCCTTCCCCAGCACGTGGCAGATCTTGGGTTCGATGCTGTCTCTCCCATTGCCAATGAAAAGGTTACTTTTTCTCTTATGCTAAATGTCAGAACCTTTCGTGGACACCATGCAGGCAGGAGAGCTGCCTTCCTAATGGGCTACATTTGTGTGGATGTACAGAATTAAGAGCAGTAAAGCTTGCTTTTTGAACTAATGAGCAAAAGTTGAGGGCTTTACTGCCTTGTAGAGTCTTAGATGAGCAGAGGAGGGAGCACAGCAATTAACAGGCTCTTATAGGCTCCCCAGAAAAACCCAAATACTTGGCTCTCAGCAGCCTTCAGTAAAAATTCTGAGGGATTTCTCTGTCCCTCCTTCCAGTGCTCCGCTGAGCTCATTCTGTGATCAAGTACATATGGTGTTATGCCTTTCCTTCTCCCTGCTAATGACATCAAGGATAGAAAATTTTGAGATGTGACCTGGGCTGTCATGGAATAGCTAATCCTTCCCAAATCTCATTAAATAGAGTCCAGGTGGTACAGCATTTATGGAGTTACCTCTCGAGACCAAACTATCTCCTTTCTTCATATGTCCTGTGAATTCGGGTATTCTTTCTGATATGCTAAAAGCAGGTCTGTGGGAACTGTCGTGGGCAATATAAAAAGAGTGTATTAAGCAGGGAAACACTGCCTGACTTTTTTGGGGGGTGGGTTTTTTTGGTATTTACTCTAGCTTTTTGTGAGCCAGTGTGAGCATCTCTATATTAAGCAGGGAAACACTGCCTGACTTTTTTTGGGGGTGGGTTTTTTTGGTATTTAGCTTTTTGTGAGCCAGTGTGAGCATCTCTGTATGTTAACATGTGCTGCTGAGCTCTTAAAATGGGAAGGAGACTTTCTAGTACTTCTTGTGCTTGCTGGTGTGATGGCTGCACATTTTCTCCTGATTATGAAATGCTGTGCATCTGTTTTAAAGCTGCTAGTAGTAATCTGTCTCCTGCTGCTGGCCAGGGTACAGCTGTTAGCTTAACGTGGGACGCTCCGTCACGAGCAGCAGTAATCATTATTACTACAGGCAAAAGAAGGTCTGCAATATGTTGAATACATTGTCTTTGCAATGAGGTGCGCTCCTTTCAGAGGGGAAAAAAATTAATTTGCAGAGCATTGGACTATATGAAAAAAAAAAAAAAGAAGTTTTTTTGATGGATTTTGGGCAGTCCAGCAGGCATGCGCTTTCCAGTTGATTTTGTTCTCTTGATTTTGAGATACCTCCCTATATTTGTCCCAACTATCTTAGGAAATATTTATGCTAAACTGAGAATTTCCTTGTTTCCAGTATTTTAATAAAATCATGAATAAGCCAAGCTCTTACATGAGATGGCTATTACTTATTAAGCACTGACCCGTAGCTTAATCTTCACAGAATTGGCAACACATGACTGAGCCTAGCATTCATTTACCAGGAAACAAACCAGAAGGAAAAAGAATAGCCCTAACTATGTTGGCTAAATTTGAAATTTATAATAGATTATATGCTGTTTTTTTCCTAAAATGTCTGAATCTCTGTGTTTTTACTTTTCTTGGTATTGAAAGAGATCTGGGTCCAGCTGTTAGAGCATTAATTAAAGGTCTCCTTGCTGTGGTCCTCACAGAAAATGTGGTTCTGGAAGAGAAAGCAAATAAGTGAAACAATTGTGCAACAAACTGTACTTTTTCCTCTGAAGTTCAATGACTCTCACTTTTTATGAAGTATTTTGAAATAGCGAGTGTGCAGAAAATACAAAATTAATGTATCGATTCTGCTCCTTTCAACTCTGGGAGGGTTGAAAAATACAATGAACTTTGTGCAAATATCAACAAAATGTAAGCATAGCATTGAAATAAACCCATATAGCCAGTTCACTGTATACACTGGGATGATACCTACATTTCTGGTATGTATATGGAGCTTCATAAAGTTCTCACGAAACATGAAGTGTGTTGACAAATTGTTGGTATATTGTTCACTACTATTTTTCTGTGGTGGGATGTCTTTTTCTTCTTTGAAACCATAATATGAGGGAAAATAGTCACTGGAAAATCACTAGCTGTGCTAAGTGTGCTACTGCTTTTCATAATTTATTGATTTTGTTGGTTTGGGGCTTTTTTTCCTGCAGTGGAGAAGAATTAGAATATAACCTGAAAGACCTTAGGCCAGCAACAGATTATCATGTCAGGTGAGTTAGTATGACTATAATGTCACTTGAATATTAACTCTTCAATTATATGAGAATAAATGTGAAAGTTTTTTTATCTAACTGTACAGCACAGCTCAAGGATTTCATGGTCACCTCTCTAGGGTTGGTTTAGTTTTTTTTCAAGTAGCTTCTAAATATTTTCTGGTGGATTTTATCTCAGATTTTAAGTAACGAGAGTGGTTTTTGAACAATACATTTTCTGTTATGTTGTTATTATTGCTAGAGTAAGAGGAAAAAAGACATCTACATATCTTTATTTCTGTCTAGATGTATTATAGACCTGGAAGTGCTTGTGTAAGAAAGTGGGATACTGCAAACTTCTTAAAAATTTTGACTCAAGCAACTGGCATTTCTTCAGTTATTGTAACGTAGGTGTGCTAGCACTGAAAGTACTCCAGCACAGTTTCTTCCTAAATACTCCTTACTCTGTGAAGTAAATCTGCCAATTACAGACCCATCTGACCATAGTAATTGCTGTATTTATGAAAAAAAAAAAAAATATATTCACACTGGCCTGTTGTAGTATTTTCAGAGCATATTTCTCTTTGATTCTAAAAATGTGTTTTACACATTTATTAACTATTAACACATTCTTGGTTTTGCTCACTGATGTTTTTAACACCGTCTGTGGTGTTATCTGCTCATGTTGCTTTTTTTTTTTTCAAGACTTTGCCTATGAACCTAGGCTTCAAATTCACATCCTGTTCATTTATGCTCAATATCCTTTTAAAAAAAAAAATCCTTTCACTCCTGTCTATTGTTTCGTTCTGTTTTTCCAGACGAGGGCTAGGTTTGGTGTACCTTTTTCACATCTAGGCTGCTATTGTTTGTATTTAAAGAACAAACACTTTGCTTCTGAGCTCTAGAAAAGACCAAGCACCAAAATGTGTCTGTCTTGCTCTGATACTATAGCTTCTTTTTCTTTTTGAAGCATACTTTCTAGTGGAGCCGTAAAATGAACTTTTCACGTAGAAACACAAGACCAGATTTAACTTCTTGTAAATAAGTAAAAGACCCAGGCTCCCAGGTTGGGCAGTAGTCCCAGCCCTAGCAGCAGCAAATGGATGGCAGCAAGGAGGAGAAAGTTGTAAAACACTCTGAGCTTCCTACTGTAAGCAACAGAGCATCATTTTTAAAGCCAGCGTCAGTCAGGCGAGCGATCGCCACACGCAGCGTTGAGATCTCCTGCCATTTTCAGGGATATGGGGGTATTTGCCCCATTGCCTGGCTGACTTCTTTCTCCCTACCTACAGCTCCCTCCTCCTCCCTGCAGGTTTGACAAATTAGAAATAATTTGTGAACAAGTTGGCAATAACTTTTTAAAAAAAAAACCCAAGTGACTGCCCAATATAAAAGTCAGGCTTAAAAAGCAGCAGCGTGTGTTTGTGGTGGAGGAACTGAGGCTGAAAAGGCCGGCTGTTTGATTTGCACAACAGGTTTTTTTTCTGCACTGAAACCACGTTAAGTATTAACGACTGCGAAGAAATAAATCTGTTGAGTTAAGACATTTATGTGACTCAGCAGATCGCCCTGGGTCTCCTTAACCTTGGCAGCATCTCTCAGGGCTTCGTCTCTGCACAGACAAGCTGCTTGCGCTTGGTCCTGCCCTGCTGGGCCCCAGGCACCCAGGAGAACCTGGTTTACTCTGAGTCTACCTCCTGTGTTTCTTCATGTAGTAGTGTTTTGGTACCTGCAGAGGTGACTGTGCTCAGTGTTTCAATGACTTGCAGAAGATGCTTGTTCAGCTCATTTTCACATGGTTGTATTCCTCGATGGTGTGTGTTTGATGCTTGGCTACGCTGATTTCCGGCACACGTACGTACCACTTGCCATATGCAGACTCAATTAATTAATTGCACATGTTTTCACTCCTGACTGCTAATGGGTGATGGGTAAAGCAGCACTACAGCAGTTCTTGTGAACCTCCCCCATAAGGTTTGATTCTATGTAGGTGGCCATTGTACATAAATTACTCTTATCTACTGAAAACAAATTTAGAAATTGCCCTTTCTTACACTCTGCATTCAAGTACACAATAGCTACAGCCAGCTCAGAGGTCATTGTCTGGTCATGGTTTGAACGGTATTTTGAGTAGAAGACTTCCGATTTGCACTTTTCTTTTGCTGCATGGAAAATGTGAATGGAAAAAATAACATCATTAATTTTTCAGAGAAAATCACCTTGTGAGGAAGTGCTCAACTATATTGTATTCGCTTTCCCACGTTATTTAGTATTGTGTATCCCCCCCTCCCCGTGCTGATTTCTAGAGGATTTGCCTGAAATCAAATTTGCTTTGAAGATTTTTAGTTATCAAAGTAATGTAATTACTAATTCATGGAGGTCCAGGAAGTGTTGACACCTGAGCTGTGTTGGAGAAGCTTGTACCCATGGAAGGAGACCAGCAGTTTCTACCACTCAATGTGGCACATGTGAATCCAGTGTAAACCAGGCATTCAAATTCATACCTTTTCCTCCTGAGTTCATACTGTCTGTTGTATTGTGAAGAAGATTTTAGCACAGTGTGTGAAAGTCTGGCAGTAGGCAAGGAAATAGCGGTGGAAAGAAAAGATTATGATGATAACTTGGTGGTCTGTGGGAGTATTTGCACAAAACACTGTTCCTCTTCAGCTATGAATTTTTTTTCATACTTGTATCAAGTGAAGTAGAATAACGATAGGCACTGGTCTGTGAGAAATCTATCATTAGTGGACAGTGTCATGGATGCTTTGGTAATCAAATACTGTGGCTGAGGCAGTACTGTCTCATCTTGTAGCTGTCAGCAAATTTATAACCCATTTGAATATTGTTTCCAGGGTATATGCAATGTACAACTCAGTAAAGGGATCCTGCTCAGAGCCAGTCAGCTTCACCACTCACAGCTCAGCACCAGAGTGTCCCTTCCCACCCAAACCCTCGCACAGGACCAAAAGCTCCTTGACCTTACAGTGGAAGGTAAGTGATGCTTGGATCGGGCAAGAAAGCAGAGGAAAATAGTTAACCAACAGTGAGCATAACCGTTGAAAATAATTGCAAGCTGAGACAGTCATTTTTCAGTAAGGGACTTGAACTTGCTGTGCTCTGACAAATCCCTCCCCAAGCACTGACTTGACTGTAAAAACGTGTGTGTTTCATTATGTCCAGCTTCTTCTCGGTGTGCCTTAAGAGGTTGCCAAGCTGTGTGCAAACCCCAAGCTTTGATTTCACTTTAAACTGTAGTCATTTGCCTGGAGGGGAAGTAGTTTCCTCTTATTCCCAGAATCACTTTTTGTTTATTTTTTGTTCATAGGCACCCATTGATAATGGTTCAAAAATCACCAGCTACCTTCTGGAGTGGGATGAGGTAAGTAATGACTAGTTGAAATAAATACATAAATGAATGGCATTCAGACTTTACAAGGATTTGCTGAGTAAAGAAAAATAATTAAAAACAGGAGAAAGTAGGACAATGAAATTGTGATGGCATTAGGTGAAGAGCTGGAAAGGTGAAAGGGACAGTGGGAGAAAATCTTTTCACTTTTCATTCAGTGTATTTTATGTGGAGACAACTACTTCTGTACTCTTGAAATCTAACTCTTTATCGCTCATTTGGTGTACTTTATTTGTTCATTAGCACTACTTATTATTTGGTTACTTGTGATATATCTTAAAGTTCTGTTTGTCATATCTTTCTTCTGGATTCTGTCTGGGTGAAGGACAAGAGACATGATCCTGTAGCCCTTTCTCCAGATAATGTATTCAGGGTCAAAAGAACAGTGTCCTTTACATAGTGGTAATTAGTCCCCTTCCAGACACAAAAGGCAGTAAGTTCTCTGTCCCAAATATCTTACATCTTTAGTGAGCAGAGTGCTGTCGAGGAGAGTGCCAAAAGCAGGAGATGTGGAGTATTTGCTGTGGGTGGGTTCTGGTTGTGAGTCCTTCCTCCATCCCCTAATTCCTTTCTACTTTCCTTTCCACTTTCCTTTCCATTGTGCAAACCTTATTTCTGTAGAAAGCATGAGTCAGTGAGTATCATCCTTGAAAGAAAAAAAATATATATTGAGAGACAGAAATGGCTTGGGCAACATGTAAAGGAAAAAAAGTGATGAGTCAGGAAATGCAAAGTGTGAAGAGTGTGTACAACTAAATTCTCTGTAGTTGTACAGTCCTAAGAAACGTCTCTTACGGTTTTTAGTGTCTAAAAATAATATTCTAAAGGGAGTATTCTGTTAGGAATAGTTTTCCATCATTTCACTAGTAATGTGTTCCCAGATCATTCTGCTCCATGTTGGCCGTTTGGAACCACTCTGTGCAAACATTTATTGTATGCAGTATCACAGCAAGGAGGGTCTACATGTTGAGAAACCTACTGAGCTGAACTGAAATTAAACAATAATTTCAGAATGGCATGCTGTCAGTCTCTGCATAATAGAAGGGGAAAGGTCATCAGTGAAGAAGAACAAAGCAGAGTATAAGGTCTGGGAAAGGAGATTAAAAAGACATTTCTCCAAAAGAACGGGCCAGGATGATCCCATTACACCTTCAGTGACACCTTGACTGTGCAGTTGTGATCTCTTGAAAGGCTTCCAGTAACGTGGAGCCATGGAAACGTAACAGCACCGAGCAGTGAAGTGGTGGAAACGTGAATAATTCCAGCCTGCAAAGGGAAGGGAAGAGGAAGGAGACCAACAACAGATACTTTTAACGTTAATTCTGTCCACATGGAGCGAGTCTTAATTTTGGATATATGTTAGGCAATTCTAAAATGTTTTTGTCCTTTAATACTCTGTATATACCTGGAGTTTTGTCTTCAGGAAGAATTGTTATGATGTCTGTTTTTCGCAGTGCAAAAGTAGTTTGGTTTAGGTTAGCTCATGTACCACTGGGGAAGAATGAAGGCATCCTGATTCCCTTAGTCTTATCTATTTTAATTACCTTGTTTTCTCAGTAACAATCCTGAAATCTGAGATCCTAGTGGATAGCTAGCCAGCAAAGATGAAAGAATAATGGCCCTGCACAAATTAATTTGGTACATCTCCAGTGGTTTGACAAGACTCCTGACTGAAACATAGTTTTCTGGTAGTAAGATGGAATCTGAAAAATTTTTTCCTCTGATATGAGACAGCAATGCAATTTTGAGTTGCTGATTTAAAACTTGCTATTAAGACTTATTAAAGAAAAAGTCTGTGCCTGCATCTCCAGGAGCCTCACCTACCTGTGACAGCGAGCTCGGCAAGCTGTTCCACTCACTTTTTCATGTGCCATTGCAAGTTGTGCCTCTGACATGGGGTGCAGTGAGCGACCAGAGTTATGACACCCAAATACAAAAGACAATTCTCTTGCAATGCCCTGTACCCTCGCACTTGGTTGTGTAAACTCCACGTAAGCAAAAGCACTAACTTTTTTTACAATGCCACACTGTGTCCCGGTGAAATCAAGAAATAAATACATCAGGGAAGAGGAGAACGCTTGCCAGGCAACGGCGAAAACTCTGCCAGATCTCAGCTAGAGCGACATTCATTAGCTACAGGGCACAGAATAAAACATAAACATGGGAAAAGCGGCGATCAGAAGGAAATTAAATTGTGGCTGCAGAGCAGAGAGGGCTTTGCATGAGTGGAGAACAAGAAATCTATCCAATGATAAAGTTAGGAAAACACCCTAAAATGACAGTCTGCTTGAGAAGTTGAGTCCCTTCCTAGGGAGGGATCTCGTGGCAGTGAGCTGTGGAAAGCCCTCACAACACAGAAGCGACAAGCAGATCCTGGAACAGTCATGCAAAGGCTGCACCCTCAGACTACGGAAACAGAATTGGCATTGGGCACGGGAGATGTGGGGAGGGTGGAGGTGGTGGGGCAAGCGCGTCTGATGTAACCCAGGCACGCTGGCGTGTTCCCTCCACTCAAGCCGTGCTCCCTGCTCCCACCAAGGAGTGGGTAACAGGCTGTCCCTCTCTGGGACAATTCAGATCTTGGAGCATGTCAGATGCTCAACAGTATCTCAGCTACTACCTCTTGTATTTACAGGGCACAGGCAGAGTTCATAGCATCTAAAATGCTGCCAGGAGTGTAGGTGGTGTCATTCGTTTATGCAAAAAAATAAACGAATGCTGTAAAACGACAGCAGAAGTGGCATGTTTTCCAGCCTTCGGATTAGGTGAGGTTGTCAGTTGTAGCAAGAGGGCAGCATCTCATTTCTCCATGGCTGGGGAGTCCCGCAGAGCTGGGGTGCTGCTGTGCCAGCCGGGTGTGAGGGGTTCTGCCCAGGTTCCTGAGTGCTGTGCTCCTCAGCAAGCCCTGTGCCACCACACCTATCCTGCTTCTCTGGAGGATCACTCAAGGGGCTGGAGAAAAGGGTTTGGGGCAGGTTGGGTTTTGGGTTTTGGTTGTTTGTTTGTTTTTTATTTATTTTACTGTATCTTGCTGAGAACAGATGCAGTATACTGATCTCATTCTCTGGTTTAGCTGTCTTGTCTCATACATACATAGTTCACAAATTTTCTCCCACCTCATTTGATGAGCTTTCGATGCAACCCAAATGAGTCGTGTTTGTTTCTTCACTAGAATTAGGTGTGTTGTATTCTTTGATGAATACAAAATGACCTACTTTGATGAAGAGAAGGTTATGCTGCTTAATATGTGCCACCCCTATGCAGCTGCTTCTTCTTGTTCTGCACTTTAGTTGTGTGTTTTAGAGTTTTTCCTGACTCTGGAAAATAGAGTAAATAGATAAAACTATTCCTGTTACTCCACCTTTTTTTTCCTTCCAGTTTGGATTGATTTGTTTGTAATGTGAATGGCGTTAAATGTTACTTAAAAAAATGCAAATACTTTCTTTTTCAGTACTTTCTCAGACATAGGTCTTTGAATTATAGTTGTAATGTCTTGGTAATGAACTGTGTTAGCTTAAAATGCATGAAAAACCATTACAATCTTCATTCTTTAGCAGCAGAGTAAGAGATCATATCAGTGAGTTGTCACTCGGATTAATTGGATTTACACTAGCAAAGTTTCCACTGACTTCAAAGGAGTTAGGATCAGCCCCTCTTCACAGGTATTTTGGAATTCAGTACACCTGAATGCCTGCACCTCCCATGCTGGCACTGGCAATAGTCCAGCAACAAAATCAGTTAAAACTAGTAATTAAGGAAAACTCCACCTTCTGGCTCTTTTTTGTATGAACTTTAGAAACCTGAACTCTTTGACCTTACAATACTGAACTAGTCAATTGATGACTTCGTGCCAGGATTGATTATTCAGGGTAAGCAAAAAGCTAATTGGAAAAAATAGTATTTAAAATATACCAAACAGAAGACATCCCTGTAAGGCAGGTGATGCTCTCTCCTGATGCTAGTGTTTGTGAAAATCAGTAAACTGAAACTGCATGGAAAATGCCGCTGGCACTGCCGTAAGAATCAGGCCTTTGTTACTAATTAGATGTGAATTGATCATTCTGTGGTTAAGTGGTAGTAAATAGAAGTTTCTCTTGTGCGTATGGATAGCGGGAGTAGCCTGTTCATTCTCCAGGGGAAAGTGGAGGACAGTTCCTGAGCCAGAGACAAGGACATCCCTCTCCTGCGGTGTGTGTTGCTATTTTGTGTATAACTCAAAAGCAACTTTAATTCTGATCCAGTGAACCTCTCATTCGAATTTGCTCAAGAGACAGATACAATACCACACTACTTAGTGATTTGGTGATGGAGAGTTAATAGTTAAGTGTATATATAAGGATAAATGGAGATAACTTTGTTCTGCTACAAAGTTTTAAACTTTTCAAGGCTAGCAGAGGTGTGCTCATTTATACTAGCTGACAATCTGCACCATGGTGGCCCACCAGAATTTGGATACACGGAGCTCCACAGTCATGCTTGGACCTGTGTTTGTTCACCTTCCTGCCCTCTCGATCTGTTTGGTGCCTGTGCTGCTCCTAGGAGACATGCAAGAGGAGAGTCTTGGATAAAATTGGGTTTTGTGTATATTTTAGGGATGTTTCATAGGTCCTATTCTGTCTTCTAAAGGTTTGTATATATAGAAAATTCAGTCGCTTGCATAGGAGCCTGCACAGTAAATGCTTTGCAGAGATATTAGGGTGTGTTGTATTAATTGTTGACAGTTTGCTCCACAGCTTTGTGTCAGATTGCGTATCAGTCTGTTGCTTTTTATTGCCAATATGAACCAAACACAGCAGTTAACGCTGCCATGGCCTGCAGCAGATTGCCACCTTGCCTCCTGGTTGCAGATCTGATGCTGGCAGCTTTTATTCAGTCATTTGCTGTGAGGTCTTGTGAAGGGCTGTGCTTTATTTCTACATCCACTCTACCTGCAGTGGCCAATTCCTTCTTTTGTGTTTATTTACTAGGTCTGCTGCAGGGAGTGCAGTCAACAATCCATTTAAAACCTCATAACCCTTGTCTCAATAAACTGTATCTCCAAGATAAACTTAAGCACTCACTTTTAAGTGAGTGTGTAGCTTGAAATATAGTTGAAATAGCAGGCAATCCTCTTAAAAATGATGTTAAAATGCTGGGTTATAGTATTGAGCAAATTCTAGTGCATTTGTTGAGCTGAATTGTTCTTGTTTCCTCAGGCAGGCCCTGATGATCATCACAGTATGGGTTGTCCTTGTGAAGAATAGAGAATGCAGGCTGGAGAAACCAGGGCTAGTGAAGAAGTCAGACAGTGTCTGCTCTCCCTCTGAAATTTGTGGATTAGAAATATTTGCGGAAATGATACAGTATATTTTAAGCAACTTACGAAACATTATTTAAAGGATTAAAACTTGGATGCCGAGTGGACAAAGAATAGGAGAAGGATTCTGGGAAAGCTGTAAGACTCTTGGGTGGCAGCCAGTACCAGCCTGCCAGTTGTTCCTGTCTATAATTATGCCAGCATTAGTGCTTTCATATTTTTTTTTAAGAGCAGAGAGACTATTTCCAGGCTATTAATGCCAGGATAATTAGAAATATCGGCCAGCCTCTCCAATTAGTGCCAATAGAATCCGAAATACCAGCCAGTCTGAGTAATATACCGGTCAGTCTCTGAGCCAGTCTGAGGAATGTACAATACCAGAAAAATATGTACAATATCAGAATTTGGACTGTTCCAAACGTCAGTGTTTGGCAATCTTTGCAAAGTTTTAACCCAGCAATTTGTGACAAATTGGAGTTTCCTTGATCCATTCCTCTCAGTTCAGGCACTGGGCTGCAGGTGAGATTTTCCATGACTTTCTGTTTTAATCAGCCATCGCTCTTCGTCAGTTTGTCAATCAAATCCTTAGCATTTGGTCACTTTGTTCTCCTGGAGAAAACACATAGGAAAAGTATAATAAAGTACATGCTTAAGCAGAAAACAAAAAGAGGTTAAATGTTTTCAAGTGGTTTTCAAATAGTGAAGTCATTAAAGAGTTTGAGAAAAAATAATTTAATGTATCTAAAACTATAACAGAGAGTTTACATAGGGTGAAGAAAAAAATCTATCCTTAGTAGTCCTGCACTGATGAATGCATAGTTTACTGAAGCATAAGATTACTAATTAAATTTTTTTATAGTCTGGTTTTTAAATATGATATTGCTGAGCTGGGAAGTATGATGACCTATTATTTAATTTTTATCCAAAAGGAGTTTTATCATTTAACTCTGTATCTAGGGATTTTAGGTAATTTCATCATTTACAAAAGACTTCTACTTTAAGATTCATGATTCTCTTCCAATTCCACCCCTTAATTTACTTGGGCTATACAGTAATGTTACAGCTGGAGCAGGTGGGTGACGTTGAAGATTGTGTATAAAACCAAGTTCTGGAACAAGTGTAGGATCACACTGTATAAATAAAAGTCAGTTACAGCTGTTTGCCAGTGTGCTGAATGTCCTTTCAGCGTCTCCAGATTGTTGTGCCGTGCTGGTGGTCTACGTGATCTTTTCTAGCTTGATAAACACATCTTGGAGATTTCCTACAAACATTTTGTGGAGTTCTTCCTTCTGTGTTGCGATATAAGTGAAAAGAGGTGGAAATTGATAGGGACTGGAGAATGGACCAGTGAAAAATGTATGTCCTACTTGGGCATTGTTGAAATCTTTAATGATGAAGTGATATATTGACCATGGACAAAGAAGGGTGGATGGGAGGACAGACAGAGCTGAAGGAGGCAGCAGCAGCTGAGGCTGTTGGCTGCAGTGAGGGACACCTGTATAAATAATTTTCTTTATAGTCTCCTTAGGTGTAGAAACATCGTGTCTTCTGTCAAGCTGGTGTATATCAGGTGAAATAAGTAGGTTTGTCTACGGGTAGATGTTAATTTTACCAAGATAAAGTAAAAATTAAAAATTGTAGAGACAGGTGCCAAAAATAATAAACAGCAGAACAGAGCTCTTGCACCAGAAGAAGTTGTGGAGCTGGGTATAACTATCTCCTGCACCAGTCTGAGCACATGGGTGTGCTTTGCTGGGCTGGTGTGCTTCGGGGTATTTTGTAATGTTATTGTCCATTAATTCTGCATTCAGGTTTTTAAATTAAACCTCCTTTAAACTGCTTCAAATCAGATAAATATTATTTATGTATAATTGAGCAGTCCAGGCCCTTTCTCCTGAAACATTTCAAAGTGACCAATTCCCATCTGTGGCATAGTGTGAGACCAGTTGTTCTTCATCATCTTGGGGTCTCTGTCCTACAAGAAACTCGGTTTTGTTTTTACCCTGCTGCATACCACATTGGATTGGGTTGAAAAGGGTTTCATTGTGGTTTAAACGTGGCAGGGAGAGAGAGAACTTCTGAATGTTCCTGTCCTTGGCCGTGCTGGTTTGTATGGGATGTGCCTGAGGAAGAACTTGGGAGCCAGAGAGGTGTCTCGATACCCTCTCTTGCTGCTGCCCCATCTTGGCTTTGCCAGGGCTCATCATTGCTTCAGGTCATGTTGATGTGAAGCTCCTGTAAAACATACCTCTGACATCCAAGTTCCTTAACAAAGTTGCATGCTTTCCAACAAATCCTCTTTGCTTGTCGCGTGCTGCTTGCTCTGAGCAGTGGGATGGCTACAGAACCCGGCACATTAAATATTCCTCTGTGATGAGTAAATCTCTTCTGACCTTGAGAGCCTGGGGCTGAGCACAGGGTCCACCCAGGCTGGTCCCCCTGGGCAGCAGTGGCTGGGGGTTGGCGGTGGCTGGACGGTGGGGATCGAGAGCCCTCTTGTGGGTTAGAGCATTTCTGAAGGACCAGGGATGGCTTATGTGGGATTCGAGGTGCAGAGGGAAGCGCTTGCAAGAAATGTTGGTTGCAGTTTTCCTGTGCTCTGGTAGATTCAGAGATTTAATTTCACCTTGAACTTGCATGATTTTTTGGTTAATGGGTAGGAAAAATTGCACTTCAAGTAGGATGACAGAAGCTGTAGATACATCACATGAAGATAAGAATCTGAAAAGAGGAGGAATCTTGACAGCAAACTGACTGTGTTGATCTGTATTATTTTAGGTATCAATGCTGTCAGTGACTTCCACAGCTTTCTTTGCACAGTACCTGTATGAAAGCACCTAATTCTAATACTATTTAACAGCACTTGGTAAAAATAAGAACCGTGTGGTTTTGTTTCATAGCTATCTGATTACAGATCGCTCTCTTTCTAGGG